GTGGATGCCCCATGCCTGCAGGCATTCAAGGCCAGGCTGGATGTGGCTCTGGGCAGCCTGGTCTGCTGGTTGGTGACCCTGCACATAGCAGGGGGTTGAAACTGGATGAGCATTGTGGTCCTTTTCAACCCAGGCCATTCCATGAAATATCTCAGCATTAACCTTATGAAATATCTAGGGAGCACTAGATGGTTAAAACAGATGTCCAGACAGACCACGTTATGAAGATAAAGTCTGAAAACTGCATTTATGCTGCTAGATAAATAGTATCAAAATTATGCTCAGTTTTTAGCCTTGATATAAACACAATAATCTCAAAAGAGAATTGCATCCCATAAGTTCTGGCTGCAGAGTAACATTCAACTCACTTGTGAGAATAAAGAAGCACACTGCCTCCTCTTCACTTAATACACAAATAACATCTTAAGTGTAAGGGAATAAGTAAAAATAAAAATCTTCAAATAAATACAGGAAGGTTGTAGAAAGGGACCGGCTGTTGAATATAAGAAGAAATAACTTTGGGGGCTTTTTTTTTTTCCAGCTGCCTAGTTAGTTTTACAGTGTTGTTTTATTGACAGGAATTTTGGATAAGATAATCAAAATATAAAATCCAGCTACCCTTTTAAGGAAAGCGACATATTCGAACCTCATATCCAAATAATAACCAAATACTAGGTTCTGTTTGATAGCTACTGTGGGCTCATGAAAGTGTCCAGTAGCACAAATGAACAGGTCTGCATTGTGACATCCTTCCCAGTGCAAAGAAGCCAAAGAACATTTAGAGGAGTCGCAAGCTTCTCTCCTTTATGTGCCTAACCCTGCAAAGGATGGAACAGGGACCTGGGAGAAAAAGTTCAGCGGATCTATCCTCAAACAAGCTGCCAAAGCCTACAGACAGAGGTTGGAGTGATACAGGCAGCCCTGGATACACGTTTAAATATCAACTTTGAGGCTTTTTCTTCTTCTTTTATAAACTAACATGCTTATAGCATTCCCAGTGGTTCTGAGGAATATAATTGCATACTATTACTTAAGAACTATGTGATTATTGCGCCGCGGTCTTCTGTACAAGCTACCCTGTAATAAAAGTGATAAGAATAGCATTTATTGTTTTTGAAATGTTTTTTTGCAATGCATCCACACTGATGTGGTTTAAAACATCTGACTACACTCAAGATCCTCTACAGAAAGGATGTACTTTCTTCTAACCATATTGCACACCACGCAAACTCTCTCCTGCATTCACGATACTGCCAGATGATTCAGCAGAGTGGGTCGTGCTCAGCTCTTGAGAAAAACTTTCAGAAACAAGAAGGAAGAAAATCTGAAGCATGGAGAAGGCTCCAGGGAAATCTCATTGCGGCTTTCAAGTACTTGAAAGGAGCATGTAAACTGGGGGGAGGGGGGGGGGGAATGGATTGCTGTTTATGAGAGTGGACAGTGATAGGACAAGTGGGAATGGTTTTAAACTGAGACAGGGGAGGTTTAGGTTAGATATTAGGAGGAAGTTTTTCACACAGAGGGTGGTGATGCACTGGAACAGGTTGTCCAAGGAGGTTGTGGATGCCCTGGAGGCATTCAAGGCCAGGCTGGATGTGGCTCTGGGCAGCCTGGTCTGCTGGTTGGCAACCCTGCACATAGCAGGGGGTTGAAACAGGATGAGCATTGTGGTCCTTTTCAACCCAGGCCATTCTATGATTAGAAAGCCACATACACAATCACAGCAAGACGTATTCAATGCAAAGGAAAGTTACAGAAGAAAAAGACATTCCAAAAAACTGCATTAACAGAAACTGACAAGTGACAAGCCTCTGCAGTTGCTGCAGAATGTAACTACTGTAAGAACTAGAAAAGTCAAGTGAATCGCTCCCAGCTATTAAAGCAAACAGCATAAATTCCTTTTGCAAATTTACCAGTTGCTACATAAAGTCTGACTCCTAACCTCAAGAAAACAAAAACAACATTAACAGAGAATTTCAAGTTTAAGACTTCAATCTTCCTCAGACTTTTTTTAAAGCACTAAAAACATTTGCAGAAGACAAGCTTGATAACATTTTATTAAAGTCTGGAGACCATCATTTTCTCAACCCATGAACTCTCTGAGTACCTAAGGCTAAGACACTGTCAAGATGCAGACAGGCTTTCATTCTTTTCAAAATCCCCTTCTCCTCAGAGAACTCAATCCCCTATGCTTGTCTTCTCTCAATCTTGGATTGGCTTCATTTTTCTGTGAGATTGGCCCTCTTTAGCAATCAGAATGACTATTCCCACCCCAAACATGACTTCAGAGACTTAACAGTACATCAAATCCAAAAGTAAAAGTCACTCACTGTAGGGACATATCGCAAGTAGTACAAGAAAGCACCGTTTTTGTATCATGCACATTTATGGAGAGGAAGTGAGAGAGAAAATTCCCATCAAGAGTTTGTCCTGAGAGTTACAGAAAGCTGGACTTAAGCCAAGCGTCTCCTCTGTTTATATATTCTACTTATGTAATGTAACAAGCGAAAAGGAACACAGATTTTTTCAGAAGGTTTCAACACAGGACTGAACTGACAAGGCAAACAATTCCCACTAATCAGTAACAACATGCTGTTACAAACAGAAACATAAAGTAACCATAGATTAGCACGTGGCTTTCCTAAACGGGAACAAGGAATGAAGGACAGCTGTTACAGAACTGAGCCATGGGCCACTTCACACGGCCACTTCCACAAAGCAAAAAGAAAAGGAAACACCCATTTGACATTCAGTTACGTATTCAGTATTGTTTGTGTAAATTCTGATGAAAGCACATTCATGCTTGAAGGCAAAAACTACTTTTCTGAGAATAAAACTCTATCCTCAACAGAAAACAGAATACAGAAGTATGTAACAGACATGTGCTACCTACACACACAACACACAGCTCACACTTGCAAAGAACATACCTGTGCAATATGCAAACATGCATTCATTACCAATCAAAACTTTTTTTCAGTAAGTAATTTGTTCTACCAACAACTTGGCTTGAGGTAGCGCTGACCCAAACAAGCTTACCTTTCTGAATTTCCAAACTACTTATCTTATATCACAGCATGCTTTCACTAGACCACAGCTTTAAGAACAACAGAGATAAAACGTCTTGTTTTGGGAGACAAGCTGATGGTCATTTTTTTCTGCCTGTATGCAGTTCTATTACCGTGCATCTTACCGCTTTAACTACTGCATTTGTCATCGAGTTACTTGTCAGTATGGCAATTAATGCTACCAATTAATAAGTTTCATTGATAAATGAAATTTCCCTCATGTTTCTCTTTTCTCTATAAGAGTGCTCACACAAACTGTGAAATCCATTCAGCAACAAGTGACAGAGCTGAAGAAGAACTAAATGTGAAGTACTGGAGACACTACTCTGCTCCCTACAGCTGAGATAAACACCAGCAGGCATTAAGCAGCTGTTTCCACAGAGAGAAACACACAGACATCCTCATGTGCAGGGGTGAGAGCTGAGGTTCATGTTATCACATGCCTGCATGCAGGTATAGCACCTGCTATTCTGTGGGACAGGAACAAGTGATTACTTGCCTGCTCCTTTACTGTTACAACACAACTATCTTCAGCAGGCAAATGGGGACACAAAAGGGCACGTGGAGGTGGTACAGTAAATATCTTCAGAGCATACCAACATTCTTCTAGTGTGGGTTTGTACAGCTCTACCAAGTGACGCTATGCAAAGAACGAATTAGGTTCCAGCCCCTTGCACAAACAGGGGCAGAAAACCAGATTATGGTCCTCTGTTGGGAACTGCTCCTAGAGATGTGAAACAAGTGGGCATTTTCCACATTGGAAGGAGGCACAAGGACAAGGTGAACACAGACAGCAAACGCTTCCCCTCCTTACACCTTTCTGCAAGGCTATTAGGCCTATCTCTTCTGGGAATGTATGTAATGATGGTGTCCCCCACTGTAAAATGAGTACATCTAAAGATGATGATTTTTGCCTTGAAAGGCAGCATTACATACAGAGGTGGAAATACTGCTACCTGACTTTGTATAATTCTACTTACACAGTCGGATAGTAATAGGATAAGAAGGGATGGCTTTAAATGAAGAGGGGAAAATTTAGGTGAGATGTTAGGTGGAAATTCTGTACTCAGAGTGGTGAGGCACCGGAACATGCTGCTCAGTGAAGCTGTGAGTGTCCCATCCCTAGAGATGCTCAGGGCCAGGTTGGCTGTGAATCCAGGCAGCCTGATCTCATAGATGTCAACCCTGCCACAGCAAGTGGTTGGTGTTAGATGACCTTTAGGGTCTTTTCCAACCCAAGCCATTCTATGACTTTAAGCATACAAGACTGGCTATCAACCCCGCTGCCTGACAAGAACCATTTGTGGAAGGCAGCTCCCTGAAGAGCAAAAGTGCTCCTATTGCCACCTCCACGTGTAGCGGAACATATTAAGAAGCATTCGAATGCATCTTCGCGTGGTTACACACAGACTTGTGCCCCTCCACGACAGGTGAGACACGGTGAGAAAGTATCCAACCAAACACAAACGTGTTCATCGCACAGTCACATCCAAAGGCGGGCTCTGGGGAGGCACGGAGACCTGCAGTCCTCAAGGTTAGTGCAGAAACCAGGCGTGAGCCTGAACCTCACCCCCCCCCCCCCCCCCACACACACACACACACACACAATCTCACAGCTCTGCCTCGCTCGATGCAAAAGCAGCCTACAAGTACATGAGTGTGCGTGTGGGGAGGTGGGGGGTGGCTGCAGCCATCTGGGAGCCGACACCTCCCTCAGGCAGCGAGCTGAGCTGGGGGCGAAGATAAGGGATAAGCTCCACGCACAGCGATAAGGTCCACGCAGAGCTGTTCGCCCCAGAGGTCGAGGTGGGAATGGAAGCAATGCGCCCGAGGGGGCGAGGGCGGGGAGAGAGGGATCCCCGCAGAGATTTAATCTCCTTTCCTCGCCTCCTGAAGGTGAGACCCCGGCCGCCCCATCCCCTCGGGTCTCACCTGCCCGCACCGTGTCGGAGAGGTCGTGAGTGAGGGCGGAGGCGCTGCGCGGGAACTCCTTCAGTTTCCTGCCGCTCAGGTTGAGCCCCCCGGAGTGAGCCGCTTCCTCCAATGCCCGCTCCAGACCGCGGTTCAGAGGCTGCAGACCCAACGCACCGCCGCCGCCACAGCCGCCGCCGCCCACCCCGCCCGCTGCCACCGCCAGGGCAGCGGCGGGGAAGGGCTGCGGCTCGCTTCCCAGCGTCGCCATCTTTCCCCTCGCCGAGGGGAACGCCAGGGGCCGCCGGAGCTGCCTCTCTCTCCCTGTTTCCTCCTCCTCCTCCTCCTCCTCCCGCTCGCTCCCCGTGGTAGTGAGGAGGGGGGGGGGGAGCGGCGGCGAGAGCAGAAGGCGGAGGCGAACGGGGCGGGCGAGGCGCACGCACTACGCATGCTCCGCCTCGCCCCCTCCGCTTTCCCTTTCCCCAAAGGCGACGCGCAGGGCGGGGCACTGTGGCGCCACCTGCCGGCTGTGCGCGGAGCAGTCCGTAGTGAAAGCGCTGTGCAGACGCCGTGAGTGTGCTGAGGCGGGGAGCCTCATTTGAAAATTAAAAGCTGTGGAGGCTCCTGCTGCTGCACCTGGTAGGCCCTGCGGAGCTCCTGCCCTGAAGAAGGACTTTCTGAGGTTCGCTCCAGCCACAGGCACAGCCTTGTACGTGTGCATGGCTCCTGGGTTCTGGTCTGTCACCACTGTGGGTGACAGATCTGCTGATCTCTTCAGCTCAGCTTTCAGTGGAATGACTTTTCTGAGACTGTTCGGTGGTTGTTTTTTTTTCAGCTTTGCAAGAGTGGGAGAGCAGTGAGTCCTCATGCTTTCACAGCACTTGAAGATCTCAGTGCGAAGAGGGAGCCTGGACACCATCATGCATGACTTGTGCTTTGCAGCTGCTACGCTTCCCTCAGTTCCCTGCACTGTGATGAAGGATCAGTGTTAAACCAAAGCCTCCTGGCTCCAGGAAGTTCAACAGCAAGAGCTACGGGACAAAAGGAGGCAGGACTGCCACAAGAAAACTCCTCTGGAAAACAGAGATCACCACAAGCTTGACAACAACAGCAAGAAACAGCCCTGGTTAAATGAGGGAGAATGGGTGCTGGGGGTGGACCTGTTCAAATAGCAGCGTTAAAATGCCCATCAAAAATTGTGCCTTACAACCACTTAGCTCTGAGCGTCAGCATTTTTCTTTTATATTGGGTGTACGTTACAGAAGTGCTTCAGGCTTTTTCAAATAGGGTAGTCTCACAGTAAGGAAAGAGCTGTAAGGTTAGATGGGTAGGATTATTTTACTGTGAATACTTTTACACTGCACATATATTAGCAGCCCCTCACTAAATTCAAGTCCGAACTGCCCTCACTGCAATTCTTTGGGTGTGATAAAGAGATTTTGGGTTACAGAATAACAAATGCAGTCTCCTGCTAGTTCAAGGAAGTTTTGGGTGCACCAGAGATCAGTTCTTAACATTGTTACTTGCAACAGCCTCTAGCTGAAGAAGAGACCTTCCCCAAGGAGCACAACTGTCACCTCATCCACAGTTGTGTCCGGATATCACATTACTTTTGACAAAGCTTGGTGGTGGCTTATTAAGATAACATTTCCCACAGATTTCCATTAGTCACAGCATATTTTGGCTTTGTTCCAGCTTTGCGTTGCTACTGGAAGAAATAAGGAAGCAGATGAATAGCTACATCTTCTCAGTGATTTGAAGAGAAGTGTTGAAGAATAGTAGATTGAGCTGAATAAGCTGTGAATAAAAGCAACTGCCAGGCTTCCTCTATAATGGATTTTTTTTTTTTTTTAATTTAAATTTAACAAACTAGGTAGTGAATTCTTTTACAGTTAGAGATGCAGATCATAGAATCATAGAATCACCAAGGTCAGAAACAACCTCCAAGACCATCCAGTCCAACCGTCCACCTATCACCAACATTTCCCACTAAACCACATCCTGTAGTACAACATCTAAATGTTTCTTAAATACAAATGACCTTGTACAGGAGACTTCCTGTATATTAAATCCCCCAACACACACAACTTGCTTTTAAAATTAGTAATATGAAGCTATGCAGTCAGCTACATTTCCTGGAGGTGTTCAGTGCCAGGCTGGATGGGGTCCTGGACAACCTGGTCTAGTGAGTGGTTGGAACTGGATGGTCTTTAAGGTCTCTTCCACCCAAGCCATAGTATGATTCTATAATTATCAATGTAATGGTGGAAAATAATATAGCACTGAAACTTCTATATCTGTTTCTGACTGTTGTGTCAAATCTCAGTCCATTCCTGCAGATGAAAAGCATCAGAAATAGCAAAAAAAAGGTCAGTCACAGCAGCACTGATTTCCTGTCCCCATACAGATGTCCATGTAAACTCTGTGTATTGCCTTGGGTTGGACTGCAACGTCAGCGCAGTCTGACATGGCAACAAAGCTGAACTGGTGGTAACTGCCATTGTAGGCAGCCCTTACATCCCTTACCCCCCGCTGTGTGATCTTGCCATTTCCTATATGACAATGTTTGTGTTTGTCTAACCCTTCAGTGAGCAAACCTGGAGACTGAGAGCAGCTTAAAAATTCAGTCTAGAAGAACAAGAAAGCAATGAGTGCCCTTCAACGAACATTGCAAATGTAGCAGAGGACAGAAAGATTCAGAAGAAAGACTACATGAGTGTAGCAGAGGAAGCTGACTTCAGAGGGTGACTGTTCTTCTAACTGGGTCACACATGATGGCTGTGATAGGAAAAATCCAACTGGAGATGAGCAGAAAGTACTGTAGCTGAGGAAGGCCATGTGCCACGAATCTTTGAATTTTTTCTGCCTAGACTCCTAAATTGGCAGAAAGAAACAAAGGTCCATGTGGCTAAAGAAGATCAGAGATGCCTCACAAAGTAATGTGTGAACTCAGTAACTTCAGCATACACATGTCCCACTCACAATGTTATTTAGAGGTGTTAACATGAGGTAGCTCACAAACAGTCGGGTTAGAAGGCTTTCTTCAGGTGAATATCCCAGGCAGACAGTTTGCCTGGAGCACAGGCAGCAGCAGCACATAAACATGAGGCCAAGCAGAGAATGGGCATCACTCAAAACATGAGGCCGCGTCAGTTTGGAGAGACACAGAAGTCATAGCTAAGAAAACCCCATTTATACATCCTTGACAGCATAACTGAAATGGCACTGGGACTAAGAAAATGATCATTTGAATCCCGAAAGAAAGAGAATGCAGGCTGACACTTCGAGTGCCACAGGTAAAAATGCGCCTTTCAACTGAAGCACAAGTACTGATCCTGCTTACAGTATGCCTAAGGCAATTGCTTCACAGCAGACACACCAGCAAAATGAATAGCTAACCCAGAGCACACCGTGCATGGCAGTTTCCTTGCAACAAAGCTGCTAAAGAGAGTTGGAAGGGCGAAGAAACTGTGCCAGGAGACAGCTCAGACAGATCCATCTCTACAGCACATGCCTCACAGAACATTCAGAGTAAAAAAAAAAGGAGGGGAGGGAAGGAAAGAGTGCAATGAATTGACAGACATAAGAGATAAAGGCAATGGTATTGATGCTGCTATACATCTATGGGTACAACAGGGAAGAAAGGTGGGAGAAATCACAAAATCACCAAAAGCTCTGCTCTCAGCTATGAGGTCATGCAAACAGACCTAAGGGTAAAATAAAACCAAGATGAAACTGTCTTAGTATCCCTGAAATATCTGATTTGAATAAACATTTAAAGGCAACACAATACATGCCCACACCTGAAGTATTAATTTAGTTCAAAGACTAATAGCAGCTGTAAACTAGCAGAGTTTCTTCCAAGTTTCCCAGATGACTTTGAAACATGCAGTGTGATAGAGAGGTAATGTGTCCACAGTTACGTTGAATACACTGCAGAAACACAACTTCAGCAGAGATTCAGTATAGAGTGATTTTGATGCAGGGGATTTTATTGATGCACAGGATTGTAACCCGGGTGGGAGGCTTCCAAACAGGAAGAGCCATCACACTGTTGCACCACAATCAAAAGACACACCTAAGATGGGAAAGGAACACCTTGCAGGAGATTGCCTTCACAGAAAAATTTGAAACAGTGTCTGGTAGGAGTGGAAGCCATCCAAGTAAGAAATAACCTGTCTTCTAATAAAAACAGAGGAGATAATTAGTTATTGTCATTTGACAATGAGACAGCATTCACAGGAAGGCTCTGTTGGCAGTTTCACAATGCCTTCAGTGTGTGTTGTTGAAACACGCAGTTTATATATCTGTTGCAAGAAAACTATGCAAACCTGATTTCCTACCCAGAACAGCTTGTTAGCACAGATACATGGAATTAAAACAGAAATACAGACTTCAGTCTTCTGCAAAATCTAGAAAATGCAAGGAGACAGAAAATGCCAGCTGAACTCTGGTTTCCAGGTAGAATCTAGGAAGTGTCAGGGGCACATAAGGCAGGGATTCTGTAAGATCCATGTTCACAGCTGTCGGCAAGACAGAAGGTAAAGTGCTTTGTGAGACCCTCATAAGAGCAGAAACATGGAAATCAAAGATTGCTAGGTAGGAATTGTGATATACATGGGGGAAGCAAAGGCCTAAAAGACAAAAGCAGCAATACAAATGAAAAAATGACTACTTGAACATCAGCTCAAGTCATATAATCGTATAATCATTAAGTTTGGAAAAGATCTCTAAGAGCGTCCAGTCCAACCATCCACCTACCACCAGCACTGCCTACCAAACCACATCCCTAAATACTACATCTACCCTTTCCTTAAACACCTCCACATGCGGTGACTCCACCACTCCCTGGGCATCCTGTTCCAGTGCCTCACCACTCTTTCTGGGAAGGAACTTTTCCTAATTCCTCCCCTGGTGCATCCTGAGGCCATTCCCTCTTGTCCTATCACTGTCACCTGAGAGAAGAGGCCAACCTCCACCTCATCACAACGTTCTTTCAGAGTGTTGTAGAGAGCAATGAGGTCTCCTCAAGCGTCCTTTTCTCCAGACTAAACAATCCCAATTCCCTCAGCTGCTCCCCATAAGACTTGTGCTTCAGATCCTTTACAACTTCCTTGCTATTCCCTGGACACAGCCTCAAAGCTTTTTCCCTGCAAACCACAAAAACCAACTCACTGGTATAAACAAGTTCTTCAGACACCTGGGAGCTCAGTAAGAGCCATGCACTAATACCAGCCCAATGGTTGCAAACCACTCACCTGACTTGGGTCAGGTAACTAGTTTTATTTTATTTTTGATGCTGTATTTGTGCATTTTCACTACTCAGCCCAACCATGTTGCTGATACCACTCAACTGGCCACAGTAAGGTAAATTTGCAGAAAGGGTGTTCAAATATCTGCCATTGAGAGGAAAAGCAAGCATGCAT